CTTGTCTTATCGTGTATAGTTTTTTTAAGTTCAACGTGCAGTAATGCTGGTTATGTAGTAGCTTTGAAAAAGCTTTCAGTTCATTAAAAATTGAAAGTGTAATTTAAGTAAAGTGATGTTGAAAGGAGAGTCACTAAGAAAGGTATGTAAATTAAACATTTTGTGTTGTAATGCAGTTGTTTATTAAAAAAAAAATTCTTGTCTTTTTTTTTTCTCTCTCTGTTATTGTTTTAATTATTTCTGCTTAAGCGAACAACGGCAATAGATATGTAGTTCTTTCTTTTTTTTGTAAAACTGTTAAACCTTATTGGAAGAGATCTAGTTTTCCAGGAAGCGACTTGTTTACGGGATTCAAAAATCTGTTCCAATTTATAAAAATTTATAAAAAGTAATCTGAAAAGTGTCAATCTTCCTTTTTTTTTTTTCCTAACAGCTAAGCATACCGCATAAATAGTCTGTGGGTTTTCTGCTTTGCTCATCCATCAAATTAAAAGTAACATGTAAGAATGCCATAAAATAAAATATGTTTCTGGGATTAAAAAATAAATAAAGGCGTAAATACTACTAAATGTAACGCAAAAGAAATTTTTTGGCGAAGATTTTGTGTGTGTGACATCAGTTAATACATGTCATTGTATGTTTTTTTCTCTACAATAACAAAACAGCTGAACTGTAAAAATTCTCTAAGGCAGCTTTGTTTCCAGTTTGGCTATTGAACTTGAAATTCAGTTTGAATTCTCACCATAAGTGTTCTCTGCATAAATAGCTATTTGTGGTCGGTAACATCTTAGCTGTGAAATACCTTGAGATTGGAGCAAGTCGGTATGGGTATGCCGAAACCGACGTTGGGGTAGGCCTATAATAAAGAGGGCCCCCTTGGTAGAATTAATTAAAATAAATGGGGTGAGGTGGGTGGGATGAGCTGATCGCCACGGCGAAGGTAAGGAGGGGGTGTACGATTTTTATATGCTAATGATAACTCCTCCCACAAATACAGGCCTTTGGCCTTTAAACTTGTCGTCGGTAACATCCAAGCCGTGACATACCTTGAGATTGGAGAAAGTCAGCGTGGGTGTGCCGAAATGGACGTAAGGGTAGGCCTGTAATAAAGTGGGCAAAAAGGAATACAGAAAAAACACACTTTATAGCTTAACAGTTATAATACAAGATTCTTGAATGCTTTCCTCAATTCTTTCTCTGGATGTGGTATGTATTTATTGTATACTGTGGATTTCCAACATCCTAATTTTTTTATGATGTGAACGGGTGTATCGGTACTGGATGCAGCTGAAGCTGCTCTGATTCTAAATGAGTGACCTTAATAGGTGGTAGGGTCCCAACCTAATCTAATGCATAGGGTTCTGATGTGGAGCATGAATTTGGAAGTGGTGAATTTATGGAGGTGTCTCTGAAGTGGTGTAGATAAGTGTCCAAAACTTTGACCAGGCACCAGTGATTCTCGGTAGGGTAGAAGGGGACTTCCAGTGGGTGGCCAGACTGTTTGGTTTTAGAATGTCTTAACGATAGAATATAATAGTCATTCACCTTTTTTTTTTTTTTTTATCTTTTATCGTGAGGCACAAATGACTGGCTGATTGTGAAGTAATTGTGAATTCCCTGGGTCTCAAAAAACATAGACTGCTATGTACATGGCGGTCTTTAAGACCATATTGGTATGTGGTTCAATTGGTTGTGTATCTATCAAATCAGATAAACCCCGGAACTTTGCTCCGTCTTTTGGAAGCCTTTTCTGGTTAGTATGGTGATCTAGTTTGTTGATGCCTTTTTGTATGTTCTTGATGGGGTAGGATGATAAAAAGGGGTTATGGTTTGGCCTGATGGTCATGATATGATGTTGTACACCTGTTAAATAGAGTTTGATAGTGTTGTGTGATAGCTTGAGATGAAGGTCGCAAAATGCGGCAAACGCTACAATGGTTTGAATTGAACAGTCATGTATATTTTATTCTATTGAGAATTGCTTTAAAATGACCATCGCTCTGTTATAGGATCTCTTTGTATTTATAGATAAGGCTGCCTGTGCCAGTTTCTTGCTGTGGGCCAATAGATGGGTCAATCCAGGATTAGGCTTCCTGAGACATACTGCAAGTTACAAATAGAATGGCTGATTAACATATCTCCGAAGATTCCTATAGAACTGGCTTTCTAACTAGTGCCAAAGCGAAAAACTAGCTACCCCGTGACAGGTGAGGCCCTGTTAGAGCCTCTCTCCTACCGCTTGGCAACTATCTATTATTTGGGCAGTGGGGCTTGAGCCACTGACGTTGTGGCGGGGTGTTGGCCTCTTGGTGACGGTAAAAAACATTCAAAACGTGTGGCCGTGACAGGTGAGGCCCTGACTATAAACCCGATAGGAGGGCTCTAACTATGATTTGGGCCGATGGGCGACTATCTCTGTGTTGAGATGGGGAGTTGGCCTCTTGGGACCATCTATGTATGGACTTTTAACTAAGACCAGCACCTGACCCTACAAGAGCCAGTTCTCAGATCCAAAACGGGGGCTTGAACCAAGAAAGATTATGGATGACAAAGAGGGTAACGTACCTAGCAAACCACAAATTGTGACTCCTTAGAAACAAAGATTTATCTTTATGTGACCTGAAAAGATAAGCATCGACTACTCACCACTGTGTGGGAGAAATTACTTTAATAATAGTGCTGAACGTAATTTTAAGTGTCTGGTGTTGAGAACCCTAGCATGCCAGAATAATATATATACCATCTCCCTAATGGACTTCATGCTTGTTAGAGTGATGCAACAAATTCCTATGATAATTATAGGTGGATAGTGTAGCTGAGAGTAGTATGTCGTGATTAAGCCAGAGACCATTAAGATAGTTGGATATAGAGCGGGATCGTATGCTAACAGATAGTAAAGTAAATGAAAGGATAGTATAATGGTTTGGTCGAGTATTGCCATGGCCTAACAAGCCAAGGCAGAAATCAAGCCCCTGTTCCCTACAACCCCTTGTATGGATGTAGCGTGAGCCGTATTGAGGCCTACTGTAGCATGATGATGAAAACAATGAATTGTAAATTTTATTATAAGTACCTGACAGAATGCAGGAGATAAATACACAAACAGGAAGTACAAGACCTATATGATGGTTAACTTAAGGTAATTAAATGAATTGCATGACCTTATTAGAGCCTGATGTAATGCATGGTAAGAGTGACAGATTATGAGTAAATTGTACATAGATTGTACGTAGATCCCTTAAGCATCGTATTTAAACATAAACTATAAATGTGTTAACAGGACCAAATTTTTTTTTATTAGAATGTTTGTAGTAGGGACAACTAGTTTAACTAATTAATAAATCACTATTTAGCCGGTAACCCCTTATATTTTTAGATTAGCCTAATAGGTGTATGAAGTAAAACTTCACGAACAGCTGGTTAGTTTAGTGTTTAAATAGTGAATTGCTGCATAGCCTTGTTCCTATGAAAATACCCCCTCTGTTTGGACAAAAATGAAACCGAACACAAAGGGAACCTCCATACGAAAGATGATAAAGTATGAATTGACACGAATGCATATATACGAAAAAGGTACTATTTAGACAAATTAGAAATGAACGAATATGCGTAATGCAACAAAATATTGCATGAGTTGAACCGAATACTCAAGATATGTGAATGGTTTAGATGAATATATTGCTGCAGGGTGCCTACCCCCGCAAAAAGGCCAGAACACGGGAATAGCCTAAACGCGGCTTTACCCGCCTGTTACCTGAAAAGTGTTCGTATGGTCGTACTAGATGACATTTCTTGTTCGATGGAAATTCATGTAAGAAACCCAGCGAACAGGGAGCCGTGAGACACTAAGGACGCTGAAATAGGCGGGAGGTTCAAACGAGGCCGGAACCGGAAGTACAGACATCCCAGGAGACTGAATGAGCTGATCATCACGGCGAAGGTAAGGAGGGGGTGTAGGGTTTTTATATGCTAACGCTAACTCCTCTCACAAATACAGGCCTTTTACGGTAGTGGACTGCTGATGTTAGGGTCTCTAAGCTAATTTTACAATTGTAAAATGGGTTGCCATTCAAACGCATGTACAGTACATATTTTGGGATCTGGAATACTAGATTAAATAGTTCATTTTTTATTTGTATGTTGGGATGTGCAGTATCGTTACTGTTATTCTTTATATAATCAGATTTTCTTTGGATCTATACATTAGCTTGAAAATATAATAAAACAATATATCAATATTTTCCACCATGCGGTTTTTATTACAAGTGGCATAGTCCTTTAACCCCTTAAGGACACATGACGTGTGACATGTCATGATTCCCTTTTATTCCAGAAGTTTGGTCCTTAAGGGGTTAAACTGTAACAGCAAAAATCATTCCATGTTTTATCCACTTGAAATCAGAAGCGTTTCGATGAATTGATAAATTAATGGGTTTACATTTATTTATTTTTATGCTACAATATTGCATCACCTCTTGAGGCATCAAAGTAATGGAGTAAATAGTAACCTGGAAGAGAATTGTCTTGCATTTGTCAAGTTTTATTAAGCCAATTGCTTATTTACCGTTTAATCTTTCAGCAGTAGCCAATTCTTTATTTCCCCTTCCTCTACTTCCAAGGAACGTAGAAAAAAAAAGGGATAAAAAGGGATGTTGCTATATATAAAACATTTTTTTTATACTGTAAATGGAGTCCATGATAAAGAGTTGAGCTATGTTGTTATGGAAACTAAAGTTTCTGAACTAAAGGGAAAGGTGAGAAATATTCTTTCATGTCATTTAGCAAGTTGATAAAGGCGAATTGAATTGGTGTAAGCAGTGTGTGTGTGCATTGCAGGGAGGGCTAGGAGGTCGAAGACATATTGTACAGTGCATTTTTTGTAAGATGTTTTTCTGTAACGTGACATTTTACTAGTCAGGGAGGGCTAAGGAAAAGGTAAGCATGTTTCTAAGCAAGACATATAAATACATGTTAAGCTGGGAGTTTATTAAGTGCAATGGCCCTTGGCCAGCAAGAACAACCCAGTCGTACAAGCTTTGGTAATGCAGTTATCTCTACGTGTCAGCTTACCTGAATCGTTAGTGTTTCATCTGCCTGACAGCTATTGGTGTATGGCGCACAAATGCAGGTAAAAATAGTCACTGAGTGCCAGGGTGTTTGGTGAACCAGGTTTATTAAAGGGACACTGTTGTCACCAGAACAACTTCAGTTTAATGCAGTTGTTCAGAAAAAAAGGCAATGTTTACATTGCCTACTAGGGACACCTCCAGTGGTCACTCCTCAGATGGCCACTGGAGGTTCTTCCTGGGGCATGCTCTTCATGGAGTCACTGAACTCTCCCCATTGAGATGCATTGGTTCAAACTTTTTGATTAATAAAACCGTTTTCATGTATAGATCATACCCCTGCAGACTAACCAGTCTGTTTTATTTTCTTCCATTTAGGAGTTAAATCATGTTGTTTATTCAGTCCTAGCCACACCTCCTCTGCATGTGATCTACACAGATTCCCTACACATTTCCTGTCAAGAGAGATCTACTGTTTAAACTTCCTTTATCACACAGTCTGTTTGATTTAGAACCTCCTGTGTGTGATTAAAGTTCCATTAACCGTGCAGGAGATAAAAACTTCTAAAGTAAACACCCTGTTAGATCTAAATTGAAAATGAAACAATTTTTTCAAGCAGGTTATATGAGTCACAGGCAGGGAAGGAGTGACTAGGGTTGAATAAACAAAAACATAAGTGATTTAACTCTGAATTGCAGAGAAATGAGCAGTGAGACTGCAGGGCCATGGTCTATACACCAAAACTGCTTCATTAGGCTAAAATATTTTGATGCTTAGAGTGTCCCTTTAAACCATTTAAATACATATGATTGCATGAGCCAAACTGGTGCACTCAATTAATTTTGTGTTTTCTTGTCTTATTTCCATAAAGGAGCGGTCCCTAAATCACATGTAGACGGGCACCTTTAACATGTCCCATTTGACATAAGGAGACAATCACAATTTGGACTTCAGATATCTTCAAAGGAGACAATAATGGTTGCTTGCAAGATGCCTGAATGCAAGGAGCACAATTGGCAACCTTTGAATAACTTTTGCAAAAGAGATCTGAAGTTTATCTGTGGAAATTGTGCTACCAGTGGAGACCACAAAAAATTTAGAATTTTCCACCATTGATGAAGCTTACATCCAGGAGAAATGCTCCTTTCAGGCACTGCTGAAGGGATTGGATAATCGCCCACCTTAGATCCTGGAAAATAGTAAAAGGGAGGCACTCCGTACGCTGTCCAGGAAGTATGAGAACGTGAACACATACTTTGAAAAAATAATGAAAGGCCCCCTGCTCTCTGCCGAAGACCTACATCTATCCTCTGTCTGTACTCCCACCTCTGATGCTCACCTTCGAGATTTCTCCAAGGCTGCACCTCTTCTGTGGAACTCCCTTTCCTTCTCCGTTAGACTTTCACCCAGTCTCCACTTCATCAAAAAAATAATTGAAAGCTCACTTCTTCAGGAAAGCATATCAATTAAACTGTTAACAGCGTTTCATGCCTACAGCCTGACTCCTCTCCTGCAACTGTAAAAAAATAACCTACTAAGTCTCCAGTGAATACTTTTCCAGCAACCTACTTTTCTACCCCACCCGTACCTTTTTGTGTCACTATACCCCACTGCGTCTAGCATGTAAGCTCATTGAGCAGGGCCCTCAGCTCCTATGTTACTGTGCGTCCAACCCATCTGGTTACAAATATGAGCCTGTTAGTCAACCCATTGTACAGTGCTATGGAATTTGCTGGTGCTATATAAATAATAAAATAGTAATAATAATATCACTAATAACTGGATATATTGCTTCACTAATCACTGGTATTAGTTACCCCTCCCCTTGGACTAGTAGGCTCTAAAGTAGCTAGCCGCCTGTGCTGCATTATGTTGGCATCAGCCCTGCATGATAATGTCTGTGAATTGGGTGAGGAGTTTAATAACTATGAGGGTGGTTGATAGGTTTTTTTCCACATATAGGGTCCTCTTTTCCTTTTGTATTTTGTATATTGTACTCTCTTTTTTCCTAGAAGTACAGCACTAGAAACAATGTGGACACTTTATGGATACTAGTTATAACATCATTAAAATAATAATGATAAAAATATGCTGATAATATCATTCTGAACATACTTTTTATAGCAAATGCAAATGGTTGAGAGAGAAAAAATACTACAAATGTATTCTTTTAAGAAACATTTTTTGCTTTGAGCCTGGTTACCCTTGCACAAATCAGACTTTAGTTGTTTAATTCTTGGTGACCTGTCTCTAATAAATGACACACAGAATGCCTCTGGTTTTCTGGAAAAGTCAATTATCTGTGACTGCAGCTGGCCCAGGACTTTCAAATTTTCTTTCTTTAGAATATCGCCATATCTGCTTCCCACTAATATTGAAATATTGTGTTATGTGTGTGTGGTTTTCCTCAGATTTATTCTTCTCTTTTAACCCTTACTACTCCCTGAAGAACCCAATGTTCTCCACTGAAAAGTCCATGTTGGCTGAAAAAACAATGAGTATCTTGACAGTGATGCATCTTGAAATATATTAATTTTGATTTTGAAGGTCTGTAGTTGCTTCTACATACAACAAGAGACCTGCGAATTTCGGGCCTGGCAACTAGAATTTCATCTGTTAAGAATCTAAAACTAGGGGTATAACAGATCACCTGGCATTGAATAAGGCTGCTATGTCAATCTTATACGTGAACTTTGGAGATTCAGAGTGTCTGGATGTGTAGTGGAGAGAAGGCAATTATGAAGGTATAACCTGGCCCCAAGCATCACCGCAGGTTGTGCGATGGAGCAATGCTGGAAGATCATTACAGCTACATCTCTACCTCCATTCTTCCCCTTGACACTGTATTTGGACAGAGTATTCACCTGCCATCCGGATAAGCAGGTGCCTACTCTTCCTTAGCGCACAGATGGCCGCCTCGTGGGGGGCATTAAGTTGGCCACTGGGGTACTCAAACCATTGGTTGAGAAACAAGGCCGTAGAGGAGTTGTTTTGGCTGGATATAGGTATCCTGTGTGGTGAATAAGCCTACCCCTCAGACAAATAATACAAATAGCCAACACACACAAACACACAGTCCCCACAAACACAACACCACTGACAATCCACAAACACGTAGACAACCCCCAGAGCCGGTGCAAGTAATGTTGGGTACATGGGCATTTATCCGCCCCCGCTCCCCCCACGCCCCCCAAAAATACCATCTTCACCTGTGTGCCTCTTAATTTCCCTTTTGTGTTTCTTATCCCCTATTTTAAACGTGTTACTCCCTTCAGTGTATCTTATCTCCTATTTTTCCCCATCGTGTATCTTACACCTCCCTTGTGTGTCTCTTACAGCGCCCCTTGTGTGTCTTACTCCTCCCAGTCCCTTTGTGTGACTCCTTCTCTCCCAGTCCCTTTGTGTCTTTTACTCTTCCCAACTCCTTTGTGTGTGTCTCTTTCCCCCCAACCCATCTGTCTCCCCCCCAGCACCTTCTCTTTTTCCCCTTCTCAAGCCCCGCTGTATGTTTCTTTAACATCCAGCCCCTCTCCCCTCCCCATCCCTTAATGGTCCCCTCCCTTCCCTGTCCCTTAGTGGTCTTCTCCCCTTCTCCCTCCTTTCCTTGTCCGTTCGTGTTTCCTTACCCTACCCTCCCTGTCTCCTGGTGCACCCCCACCCCCTTAATGGTTCCCCTCCTTTTCCTGGTGTGCCTCTTACCTCTCTTGTAGCGTGGCTGAGCGGAGCAGATCCTGGTACAGGAGCTTCAGTTTCCTGTACCCGGCCGGACTGACAGGAAGTGCTCTCTCAGGGAGCAATTCCTGTCAATACGGCCGGGTACAGGAAACAGAAGCTCCTGTACCAGGACCACTCCACTCGGCCACTCAATGGTGTATACATACTGCCAGTCACACACACCCAATGACAAACACACAGACGTCACTGACAGACACAGGTTTACTGATTTGACACACACACATTCCCCAACAGACACACACTGCCAGAAACACACTGACAGTCACACACACACACACATTCAATGACAAACACAGACGTCACTGACAGACACAGACTCACTGATCTGACACACACGCACACTGACAGACATACACACTGACAGACACACAAACACTGACAGACTCATTGACAGACACACACTGATAGTCACACACAGACTCAATGACAAACTCTCACTGATTTGACAAATACTCACGAACACACACTGACAGACACACTCATACACTCACATGCACACACATACACTCACTCACATACACACACACTCACACTCATACACACACACAAACATACACAGACACATACACCCACTAATTAATATTATTATTATAATTACAAATTTTCCACCCATCCTCCCTAGCAAGAGAGCTGACGTGGGTCTCTCGTTGGAGGTCCAGTGGGACTGCTGGGAGGCGTGCGGCTTTGTTAGAAACAAAGACGGCAATGAAGCTCTGATCTTCCCTCTAGGCACCCTCACGCCTCGAGCTCTGATGCCGGGAGTCAGACGTCATATTCTGGCTACCGCAACATCAGAAAACGACGCGCGAGGAAGCAGAGCCGGGGGGAGGTCCAGAAAGTGGCATGGTAGGAGGGAGCCCTTCCCTCCTGCCGGTCACTGGTATCTTGCGCCCCTAGAACTGGTGTGCCCTAAGGTGACCGCCTGTGCCGCCTTATGGATGCGCCGGCCCTGACAACTCCACAAGCAGGGCATATATGCACACATTAACGAACACACAATGTGGCATATCATCCACACACAAAATCCACAAGCAACCCTCATACACAGTCCACATTCATAAGTATCATATGCAATTCCACAAACTACTTATAAACATATACAATATAACAGAACACATACGCATAAATACAACGCTACTGCAGCACCCATAAATAACACAAGCGGAATAAAGCAACATACAAACCTCAATTTAGTACCAGCACGTACTATCTTGTTTTGGCACAGTACTACTAAGGCTGCCTGCCCCAGCTCTGTAAGCTCCCAACTTTAATATGTAATAACTGCTAACTGGGTTGTTAACCAAGACTTCTCATTTTGGCAATGAACCAACAACAACCTTGGCCCACCAAGCTGACTCGATACCTCCAAAAATGCTCCAGAACAGCTGAACGCTGTTGGAGAAAGTCTCACTGTGCATCTGACTTTCTCCACTATAAATTTATGCTGAACTCATACAGCTTGGCTCTTTCCTCTGCAAAAGTAAATTACTTCAATACCCTCATAACCACACTCTCCTGCGAACCCAAACGACTATTTCACACATTTAACTCTCTTCTTTGCCCTATTGTTCCTCCTCCACCTACTAACTTGACCGCCTCAGACTTTGCAACTCACTTCACTGACAAGATCTCTACAATCAGAGAAGAGATATCCCATCTTTCTTCTTCCCCTTACAATACTTCCCCTAACTTCACTCCCTCTGCTGTTCTATGTTCATTCACACCCACTACATTGAAAGAGGTTTCTGCTCTGCTCCAGTCCTGCCGCCCCACGACCTGCTCCCTAGATCCAATTTCCCTTGCATCCATACTCTGTCTTCTTCTCTTTCTACACCTCTCACTAAAATTCTCAATCTCTCTCTCCTCTGGTTTATTTCCATCGCCCTTCAAACATGCAACTGTAACACCAATTCTAAAGAAGTCCAACCTTGACCCTAACTCCCCATCCAACTATCGTCCTAACTCGCTAATGCCCTTTGCATCCAAGATCCTTGAAAGAGTTGTGTATGCAGGACTGAGAGACTTCCTAGAGTCCAACTCTCTGCTAGACCCACTTCAGTCTGGTTTCCGCACTAAGCACTCTGTGGAAACGGCACTGGCCAAAGTATTCAATGATCTACTTGTTGCAAAATCTCGTGGTCACTACTATCCTAATTCTCCTTGACCTGTCTGCTGCTTTTGACACTGTTGATCATCAACAGCTTCTTCTCATCCTCCGCAATATCGGTCTACAAGATATTGCTCTCTCCTGGTGCTCCTCCTATCTCTCCCAGCACTCTTTCAGTGTTTCTTTCTCTGGCTCTGCTTCTTCTCCCCAACTTCTCTCTGTTGGTGTCCCCCAAGGTTCAGATCTTGGTCCCCTACTGTTCTCCATCTATGCATCCCTTGGTAAACTCATTAGCTCCTTTGGCTTCCAATATCATTTCTATGCAGATGACACACAAATCTACCTGTCCTCTCCTGATCTCTCCCTATCCCTCTTGACTAGTGTCTCTGACTGCCTCTCTGCTATTTCTAACTGGATAGCTGCCCACCTCTTTAAACTAAACCCTCAAGTGTTGTTACTCCTGTGTCTGTCTCCCTCCAAGTCAACGGTGCTACCATTAGCTCCACCACGCAGGCTCGCTGCCTAGGTGTTCTCTTTGACTCCGATCTCTCCTTCAAGCCTCATGTTCAGTCTATTGCTAAATCCTGTCGTTTCCATCTCAAAAACATTGCGCGCATCCGACCCTACTTAACGCCAGATGCGACTAAGGTTCTGGTCCATTCCACTGTCCTTTCTCGCCTTGACTACTATAATCTGCTTCTCAGTGATCTTACGTGCTCCCAACTTGTGCCATTACTGTCCATAATGAATGCGGTGGCAAGGCTCATCTTCCTGTCTTCCCGCACCTCCCACGCCTCACCCTTCTGTTAGTCCCTACATTGGCTTCCAGTAAGATATAGGGCTCAATTTAAAATTCTGGTTCTTGCTGTCAAATCTCTACATATTGCTGCGCCCAGGGCCGGATTAACATAGG